TTTTTTTGACTTTTTTTTAAATCAAGGATTCTGGCCTTACCATATGAAAGTTTTTTATAACTGTAGATGATATGCCTACATAGAGCCAGAGAGCTGCATGTGGGTTTAGTTTCAATTTTCCCTTGTTTTCTCTCTTCAGATCATTTTCTGCTAGTCCATCAGATCATTTGTTTTTTCCTCTTGCCTATTTATATATTTACATTTATATAGTATATATATATATAGTAACTTTAGTTGGCGATTCCCACTCATCTAGGATGGTCCATGTCAACCTAGGCTTGCGCATCCTCGTCATCGTCACTGCTGGTCACTTGGCAATTTGTTCACAGGTTGGAGCCAGTTGCAGGCCATTGGATTGACTGACCCGTACCGCGCAGAGCTTCTTTTTGTTGACCTCGTGAGATGCCGTGAGGTCTTTGCCCATTGATGCACATCTTGGCCTTCGCAGTGGGATGCTCTGGAAAGTCTCCTACAGTGGCACAGGGCACCTTGATTGAGATGCAGGAGCTCTAGCCTCGAGTTGGCTCTGTTCATTCACCATTGTATTGAGGAACCTTTTGGCTTGCAGTCCTGGAGAGATGCCCAGCACAGTTTCCAACACAATAATAAAGGTTGTTTGTGTCCTTTTGTTGCTGGCTGCAATTCACTGCAATTCCGGGAAGCTCGTATCCAACCCAGGGCTGCTGTCCTGGTTCCTCATGGTTTGGTGAGGGGTCGCTTCCGAACTCAATGTGAAGTCGATTGGCACCTCCCTGCCTGGGTGGTGTCCTATGGTATGGGGTGCGTTTTTCGGTGCGTGCGACCAAGCAGCAGCCATGCCCCACCCTCTCCCTCTTCCTCGTCCTTCTTCCTCTTCCACGTACCCCGATCCCCCATTAGATTGCTTGCCCAACAATTGCCGGCCATTAGATTGGCCGGTGGTTGAGTGCTTTTCCTCTTCTTCACAACCTGTTGCCACCTTCCGCCAAAAAACCCACCCATTAGAAGGGCTGTGTTCTAAAGTGACCCCGCGAAATGTTGCCTAAAGTGTTCTAAAGTGACCCTCATGATTCATGGTATTCCGATGTATTCCGGTATTCCCTGAAAGTAAAGATGCCACGCGTCACCAGATTTCAGATGATACGGCCCCAAATGGAATCTCAGCAGGTTTGGCTACGATGGCCGCGTCCTTCTGCCTCTTGGACCTCTTTGCCATTGGCTTCCTTGCCACTTGGCGGCGGGGCGGCTTGGGCGAACGAGGTGACATGATGTGCAAAACTTAGGTGGTTTCGGACATTTCTATTTTCAACCTTTACTTGGGACGCTTGAACCCACGTCACTGACTCATATTTTTCAAGTGAGTTGACCGCCAACCAGAAAATACATCAACCAACATATGGAGAACAAGAGAATACATGAGACTGGTTGCGAAAGAGTCATCTCTCCAAAACCCACGAGGGCTGTGTCATGCTAGGATCGCAGAACACTATGCAATAGATCAGCACTTGTCTAGAGTGTTCCATCATCCCATTCCATGCAGGTCAGCCAGCGGGACAGTTCGTCGGAGTGTAAGGCAACCTTCCTTGAAGGAGTCAATGGTTTTGCAAGCTCTGCCGTGCACGACTTTGCAAAGCCCATGTGTGAGCTCGTCCAGGAAGCCTTGAATCAGGACGGCCATCACGATCACGGATCTTATTTGACGTATATGGAAGCATCGCCGCTGGCTGCCTTGGACATGTGCGGAATAAACGGTGTATGAGTTTGTGTTTCTGGCATTGCAGGAATTTTGAGTGAAACATCAAGTTTGCCGTGGCCGGATTTTATGATATGAACATATATGAAAAAAGTTTTTCCTTCGCAACATTGGAGGACTGTTTGACCATGACTGCCTCTGTCGTTCCATTGGGCACCATAGGCTGGGAGCTTTGATGCAGATGATTACGAAAAAGCAACAGGTGCATAATTACTCAACGGTGCATGGGAAGTAGCATCGTGAACTTGGCGCGCGAGAAGTTTTTAGGCCAGATAGATCTCTTTGGCTTGCCTTCTTGGTCAGCATCGCTGCATTCGTATGGCCACATGGCCAATGACATTTCCTGCCTCACTGGAGGCCTCCTATTGGCCACTAGTGCTTGGAGTGCCCTGGTGGCGGTGCAGGTGATGGGCTTTGGTCAGAAGCGCACCTTGGCTTTGGTCAGCCAGGTGAGCCAGGTCATCCTGGCCATGTGAACACGAGAATGCGAACTTTCAGGGGCCAACGTCGCAGAGCCATGCTCGGAATATCTTGGAATATGGATTTCTCGGGAGTCATCGGGAGTCATTGGCAAGTGAAATATTTATAATTTATACCTGTAGAACCAACCAATGCCCGGGCTTGTTTTTGTATATAGGCCCCAATGCTCATGTGGCCAGTTTTCCTTCAGGCTTTGGATTCGTCCACCTTCCTGCTACTCCATGATGACTTCTTGCGGTTGCATTCATGGATGGATGTGGTAAACCCGGTAATACAGAGAAACTTGTGCCAACCTTTCCCTTTGAATCACCAAAATGGTTGACGGATCAGCACAAACAACGTGGCGAGTGTCCAGATTCGCGGACCGTATCTGGAACGCGCGCACCGTTTTTTTCTTTGTTTGAAGCATTGTGATTGGATAGACCGTGTCTTTTTTTGCCACCAGAAACCAAAATCCGATCCCACGGGGGACTTTTCACAATCAGTCCAACGGACTCTTCGTCACTCCCAAACGAAGAAGAAAGAACAACAGAGTCAACATCATTCAGCAGTTCCGGGCTTATTTCTTGTGAATCCTCAACGCATGAAAGAACATGAGACTGTAGTACACAGTATCTTCCAAAGGACATTCTTGGATGTTTTTAAAATCTTTGGAGATCATCTCATGATCACCACGTCCCTTTTGCATCGAGGCCGCGCAGGGGAAGTGGCGCCAGTGCAAGCCGAGCTTCGTGCCCAGCAGCCTCCATCGTTCCAGGAATGCCAGGACCAGTCGTGATTGGTCGCACCGTGCCTGGTCGTCAAAACAGGATGAGCAGGTCCATGTTGGCTGCTGAAATGATATGATCAAGCATGATACTATAATAATTAATAATTAGGCAGGACAGTGTGTTCGGAAGGCTTGGGATTGAATTCAATAGACATTGGCCAATTTTCAATGTTAACCCTGGATTGAGGACGCCTAATCTGGCCAAAGATGGGTTGAAGCGTGTGCTTCCACTGCTTTAGCAGACAAGACGGATATAGGATGAGCGCTTTTGAAAGCTCAACTTCTTGGCTCGAGCCTCAAGCCAGCAGTTCCTCTTTAACTCGACTAATCGTTGAGAACCTGAGCAAATAAGCTTTTACTGATCGACTTTGCCAATGTGACTGGTTTGTCCTTGTGAACTTGGATTGTTATAGTTTCAACATGTTTCAACTGCATTCCAACACCCACGTAGGCAGTGCGGTGCTTTCACAATTTTTGGCTGAGTGCCGTATGCAACAGAGTGACCAGACCAGAATTGATCCCCTTCAACATCCTCCAACATAAGATGTATCAGTGATGTATTTTATGCTGCTTTTGTTTACTGTGATTTGTGTTGAAGGGATCAGCTCATCCATTGGCAGTGCCGGTCGGGCCGTTATTGCACAGATTTTGCTGTTTGGGAGAGAACTGCAAGACTACTTGCTGCAGGAAGTCACTGCTTTGATGTGTTTCATCGTGTTTCTGTGCAGCTCACTCCGTGCATCTCAGTCTTAATTCGCCGGCAGCTGCTTTGAGGGCGGATGCCTGGCCTTTTGCTGACCTTGTTTTGCAGAGCCTTTCAAGCGACGAAAAGAGTCCCGATGTCACAGAAAGCCAAACTTGTACTTATTCAGTGATACCCCTTTTGCGAGACTCACTCCAGTCGCCTGGGGGAGCAACATGCAGGGAAAGAATACAGGGAGTTCATGTGGCGCTCCACCCCCATCAACACACATGCAACATTCATCCAATTACTGTGAGTTTGCCCGCAGGTATGCAGGACACAAAGTCAGCAGGGCCTAAAGTATCCTAAAGTCAGTACCAGCGGGGGTGATTGCTCACTGTGACTCTCGCCATTTTTGAGCTGCCTTACTTGTTGCTTCTCCGTTATTACAGTAGTCGTCAGTGAAGCAGAACCACTTGCCACCAACTAAGGTAAAGAATGCAAATATAGAAAAAAACTAATATATATACTGTCCAGTTTGCGCTTGCCTAGCTTATTGAACACGCGATGCCACCAACTAAGGTGAAGAATGTGATGTGGACCTTTTTTTGGTGATGCCCCGCGTGATTTGGCTGCGTGGCCTTTCAAAGCCGCCGCAGCAAATTCAGGCCGGGTGGCGTCAACCGCTGATCGATCCAGTTATTTTTTCCTCTTTGGTGTTCCCTCCATCCCAACCACAATCCATTTTCGAAAAACCACTCGTCCTCTCCACTCGCTTAAAAAAGAAGATAATATCCACCCAGGCTCGAGGCAGGTAAGGTGGCTGAGGGGCCCGCAGCCGTAGGACACTTGGGGGTTCATATTCTCACCACAAGAGTCTTGGCTCAAGACACGAGTTGGACAGATGCCCGCAGCTGCAGAGATTGACTCTGAGGACGAAACATGGCAGGGCCAAATCGACCTGCGGGTTTTTCAACAGGTTCGAGACCAGCAGGAAAAGGCCCGGATCATTGCCAAGCTGGAAGCGCAAAATCGCCCCACAGATGGCGGCCCGAAGGAGAGCACGCTGAAACGGACGGAAGCTGCTGAGAGCTCCAAAGAGGGCTCAAGAACGACGGAGATGTTGAAGAGGTGCGAAAAGAAGGGTTGTGCAGTGGGAGCACAGTCCTGTGACATGGGATGGCAGTGGGCCCCTTCGACCACATGGGCTACACTGTTTGCTGTAGTTTGCATGCTTTCGACAATTCTTTTTCGACTATATACCTACTACTGCCAGACCACGGACAGCGCGCAGCATGTTGCTTAGAAGTTGCCATCAGAAAATGCAACTGTAGCATTGCCACCCACGTAGGCTCAGGTTGGCTCAGGAGCCTAGCATAGCCTAGCTTTCCATCAGAACCCGTCGGTGGTAGGTCTTGGGTCCAGTCTGTCCTATTACCAGTAACAGTGAATGTGCATTGATTTGCTTGTTCAACCTGACTAAACCTCCCGGCGCCTTTCGTTGGAGGTTTTCAAGAGCCTTCTACCTCATCGATTTCATGATCCCTCTTTGGTCGGTGAATCTTGGAACGTCGATGAAGAGCTGGGCAACTTTGTGCCTGGGAACGTCGATAGACGGGATGCAACGGTTGATGCAGACGGATACGACCTGCTAGCTTCTTCGCGTTTAGTATTCATTAGTATTCTAGGATTCTAGGACATTCAAAGTTCTAAGGTCAAGGAGGCAAAACGCCTAGAGTGCGTAGAGTGAACATGTATAAGTATAAGTATGTATAATATATATATATATAAACATGTAGCTTTCGAGCATCTCATTGACAGAAAGAGCGGGAGCCTGAAATGGATAGACAATTTGGATTTGGCTTAATCGCGCCCGTGGCCCGATCGAAGAAAGAGAAAGCCAAGCGGCCACGAAGTAGTATCAATCTTGACTGATGGAGCGAGATATGGTCAGTTGCATTGTGAAGTCAGAAATGTTTGAATGTTTCAAGTTCAAGTTGACCCTTTGAAGTAGCATCAGAAACTGGATGCCAACGGCTTTTAGACAAGTGTTTCCAGCTTTTTGTGTGACCCACTTTTGCATGCAAACCCTTTCAGTAATTTGTAGGAAAAGTCAACATGTGTGCACACCGGTGGTCAGACATGTCGTATGTTTTTCAAACTTGGCTTGGTCTCAAGTTTGAGTGGCGCAATGTGCAGGGCGGAAGGGCGCAAGTCCTTCCGCATTCCGCCACTTCGCACTCCTTCTGTCAGGTGCTTTTCTTCCGCCATGTGAATTCCACTCTGATGAGCAACTGGCGAGCTGTCGGCTCTCACATCGCCGAGCGATCTGCATGGGACCCTTGGTTACGTCGAGGACGCGCAGGCAACGCAGTTCGCACTCCCTGAAACCACGAAACATGGAGGTGGACAATGGATGAACATGGCCCTTTGGATGACCAATTGGCCTTTACAAACAAGTGGAAACCCGAATTCCATGATCATTTCGGGGGGGTATGCAGTCACTGACTGCTTGTCGTGAATTGGGGCTCGAACACTCAGCCTTCGGACAACGGAAAAGCAACTGAGGTCAAATCAAAGGCGAGACGACACGATAAAAGCCTGCAAAAGTAAGCTGGTGTGTGCCATGCTGCCGTTCTACTTGTGTGCCGGCTTTTGGACATTTAATTAGCCTTTTTGTCAGTTGTGTTTGATCAACATATCACCAGTGGCAACTATGAGAATGACAAAGTAGATCAGAATAAAACACATCCGTTCTCAATTCGACTGTGCTGCATTGTGCTACTGTGTTGCCCTGTCCGACAAAAAACCTGCCAAGACAGTGCCCCATGGGATCTCCAGTTGCGCCCAGGAAATCTTGGTGAAACGTGTGGCCTGACCGAAGAGGGCCAGGGGAGATTTGACAGACACACGGATCATACGGGGATCCCATGGAGGATCCTGGTTTTTATGGCTTTTCTCAAGCCATGACAGGAATGATCCTAGGATTTGGGATGATTTAGTGTGTGCATATCATATCACATCTCTCTTTTTTGATAGAGCAGCCACACCAGTGGCTTCATTGTATGTCTACTTTCTCTTCAAAGAATTCGACGTTGAGCAGCTTCATGCAGATCCTTGATCCAATCCTCTGGAGACTTTCCGGATCACAACCCTTGTGAACCCATCAGGTAGTCCTTGGCGATGGTGACGCGGAGAAGGAGGCGAGACAGTCGAGGTTTGTTTGTTCTTGGACCGCCGAGGTTCGTAGGACAGCATGGTGCTTTGCTTTGGGGGTGTGCAGATGGCTTGGCTTCAGGGAGTCTCGTTTCACCAGTGAGACCTCTCTTCCATGTGATGGGGGTGTATAGCACGCTGGGCGCAACAAAATGTGTTCATTATAATTCATTATAATCATTGTCATCCTGTGCTGAACAGAGTCAAATTTGGAATCTCGTGTATAGTCGTTTTTGACCAGGGCTTTGGATTTAAGACATGTCGCACCATCCGTCAAGTTCCAATTGGATTGGTTGGGGCTACATTTGAGCGCGCTGTATTTGAAACATTGCGAAATCACCAACTTTGCAGTGACTGCCAAAGCCTCAGACTTCATCCCTTGGACCAATTTTGACTGAGGAGCGGCTGTGCTACTTGGGGGACACCCCATGTTGGACATATATTGATCACTATACTATATATATATTATACATCGTTCATGCCATGCTTCAGTTGGTGTGGGGCTTCATTCACCCGGCCTCTCTTTGAGGATTTCAGCGGGTTCAATACACAGACACATCGCACAGTGCGACGCACCAGCGTTTTGCACAGGAGATCTATGGCAGTCTCTCATCCACTTCAAGGGAACAAGCGGAATCTGCTGTGGAGGAGCTGACAACTATGGGAAAGAGCTTTTGCACAGGGTGCCGGGCATTAGAAGCTAAAGAAAAGTGTGCATGTGCCAGAACGCGCTAGATGACTGAGTAATTACTTGTATTTGCTCAAAAGGCCCGCACGTGGATTGAAGCCGTTTGGCGACAAGCTCCACACAGTACCGAGGCATTGTGATGTTTTGATCTTGGATGGCTGCCACTTGTCCCAGACCTACACATTCCAAACATACATGGCCCCAACTGCCTGGAAGTCATTGTTCAACTTAGCTTCGCACGGGGCGAAGTTCTTTTTGCGGTCACTAGTGTATATTTTCTTGCGGTCACTAGTGTATATAGGTGGGTCAAATTTGCTCCCACATGCTCCAACCCAACCTTTGATGCTGGCTGGCTTGGATCTGATGTTTCCTTTGGAAGTAACCCACGCTGAAGCCTTGTTTTTAGGATCTGGTGAACAAGATGGAAGCTTGGAGCCGCCCGGCTCAACAGACCAGTCGTTAGCAATGTACAGTACATGAAAATTGGACCCACTGGGAAAGCCATTGATTTGTTGCAAACTGTGATGCAATATGGCCCTCGACCTGCAGAAGGGCACAAGTTCAATCTCCATGCTTTCCTTTTGTTGAACATGTGGAATACAAACAATAACACACATGTAAAGGCTTGCGTATGTACCCCGCACTTCATCACAGATTCCTCCGCTTTTGTTTAGAGTCAAGCCATGTTAAAATGCTGTTTGTCCCCAGCTATTGTCAGGTATGGAGCTCCAGAGGCATTGTGCGGAAGATTGGAACCAATTTGCCGGAATTTTGATCCAATGTTTGCTTGGAGCCCGGGATGGCGGGCGCCGTTGGGATTCCGGCTCTGACACTAGATGACACTAGGGTGTTGTGTTTGCACACTTCGCACGCGGGGTTCTTTAGATTGTTATTTTTGGATTGTCTTGGGTTCACTGAGTGTGTGAATAGTGCACGAAGCTACTAATACTAGGTTGGAGGCCATCGCTAGTAGGTTGGAGGCCATTACTACTAGTAACAAGAAGCTACTAGGAACAAAGGCCACTCGGAACATACATCTCGACGGCAGCCGGACATGTTTCGCGGACGTGTTTTGCCAGCGATGACGAACTCTGTAGGTCCGGTCTTTGTCGTCGCTCGCCCAGGTCGGGCGAGCGGAAGAAAGATTCAACACAAATGCAGTTCCAAGACACTTGGCAGAACCTGCTGAAATGTAGTTCCAAGACACGAATTGGTCCTACAAGATCGGCGTCCATTCCCTTCAACGAAGCAACGGCGTTCATGAAAGCTTGTGGGTTTGGAATTCAGTCTTGGACGCAACTACCTCGCGCCATGAACACAAGAAAAGGAGTTTGCATCACTACCCCCTTGCGGTGCTTGACCCCCCCGAGGGGGTCAAATTTGCAACTTACAATTTTTGATTTTACGACAATAGCATGATATAGCCCTCTAGGGGGGGGCTGAAAATCGTTAGATCTAGGGTTGAGGTAGCCTATGTGAGGATGTTACTTTTTTTTAACCCCCCCCTTCCAAAGAGGTCTTGGCCTACTTCTTGAGAGTTGGACATGAAGGGGGAGGGGGGTCTAAATTGTAAGAATGGATGGGTGGGTACCTCACAGAGCAAGTTACAATTCCTCCCCCCTGTCAGCGTTGCTTTCGTTTTGATGTGCACCCACAAGTCCATATCACAATTACAACCTGCTTCTCCGCCTATTGAAGCTCGTAAGAGACATGCTGAAGCCAGAACATGAAAGGAAAAACCACTGCACAGGGTGTACCATAGTGCGCCCAGAAAGCCATATTACGATTAGTTCCCAGAAAAAGGCCGTGTGGAATCTTTGTCATCGTTTTTTCATTATATACAGATGGGAAATTGTAAGTTACAATTTTGAGGGTGAGGGTCCATGCTTCTACCTCACCCTCAAAAGTGTAACTTACAATTTTGACCCCTGTCTTGTCAGATGGAGATTTTTAAGACCTGTATGTTCAAATTGCACCGTTTTCCAAAACCTGCATTTTGACACACCCAAAATTGTAAGGTACATTTTTGACCCGCAGGGGGTAAGGTAGTAGTGATGAGTTTGCCATATTTTGCACCTTGCTGTGGCCAACTCCTAAGGTCTAGTGGCTCGGCCTTGCTGCGAAGAATCTTGAGGTGCGTCCACCCACCCTGCCTTGAGATATAGCAATGCGCCCCATGTGTTCCTCGCTTTGTGTCACCGATCTTTCCTCAGTTGCGCCCTGTCGCATTCCCAAAAGCAATGCGCAAAAGCAGAGTGCCCTGGGCCTCGAGCTACAAAAAAGGCCACTTGTTTTTGTATGTTTTTGTGACAAGGAGCACATGGCTTCTACCTGAGTAGGATCAAAGATGGCACTGACGCCCCTGGCGGAAATCACATCTGCCATCAACTCGACCACGCTGCCGTTGCAATCAAATCAGTTTGCAGTTTATAGCCGTTGATCCTTTGATAGGCCCTTTCTAGGGTAGCTCCCCAACAATCCGAACTCATTGGAGACGCTGAAAATGATGGCACGTGGATGAGTTGTGGCAGTACTCTCCAGGACCTACCAAGCCCACGCCTTCTCAAGACATCTCAAGAGTTTCGAGCAGGCAGGGTCTTAGGTCCCTGCACCGACCCAAATTTGTTTAGAGGTGTCTCTGACACAGACCCAGCATTGCATGGCGTGCAAATCCGCAAACGTGGCAACAGCCCGTTTTCGCAAGAAGTGGACCTGCACTGGCCGCTTGTCGGACCTAGCCAGCTAGGAGACCTTATAGCCATACAGCCAGTCTGAAGAAGTGTGCCCCACCATGGGGGTGATTAATCGATGTTTACAACATGTTTCACCAGTCACTCACATACTGTAATTAAACATGTGTAGATCCACAGTAGGGATGCATAGATACATCATGTGTATCAGTTAGCATGCAGAACTGTTTGATCTTTCTTAGGATTTGATCATGGGTGGAAACGAACCACACGGGCGGCCAACGGGTCTGAGATATCTACACAGTGGATGTGCGAGGATGAGATAGACCTGGGGTGTGCCCTCTGCAAGACTGCCAAGAGATGTCGGTTGCTTTGCCATCTCATTCCTCGATGAATCGACCACGACCAGAGACCATCTTGGAGATTCAATGGTTTGGGCACGAGAGAAGTCTTGGCTAAAAATTGTTGGGGGCAGATCCGAGGTGTACCTTTGACCTCACAACGAGGCGTCTGTTCGGCGCATCCCGTCCCTGCTACGCATCACTGCCACGACGGGCCCAGCGGCCCAGCCTCGGCGAAGCCGAAGCTGGGAAGCCGGGCGGAAAATCAAGCCACAAACTCTGAATAGACATGGTTCCTGAGAAGACTCTTTTTTTCTTAGCCAATGTAAAGGAGAGGAGAAGTGTCCACTTCCATGCGACGTGGACTCAACGTGCGGGCTGCCGGCTGGTGAGTCGGATGCGTTGTTGGTTGGATGATAGAAGCTGGTGGAGGAACACCTTTCTGGTAGAAGC